TGCTAACAAATTTCAATATTGCAATGAATAGTAAATATTATAAAAATTTGTTCAAAATTATTTTTGAACTTTAAACATAATTATGATTACTAAATAATTTTATTTATATTGTTTAATTTAAAATTATTTTATTATTTTAGGTTTATTTTAGTGAGATTATTTATTTTATTGTTTTTCTTATTCGTCATAGTTTAATTTAGATTTATATATTGAAAGAAAAAATGTAATCATATGTTATTATAAAAGAGTAAAAATTTTCATCATATGAACTATCTAAATTTTTAAAAATATTAACTATTTTTATAGTTGTGTAAAAATTATAGTTTAAACAGTTTGAAATGTATTACAATTTTCATTGTTTCCAAAATAAAAGACATTTTTGAGACTGACGCAAATTTAAAGTGTTTAACTTCAATTTTATTATTATTACTTTTTATGTCAATAGTATTAAATATTTTTGTATGATCGGCAGTACAGTATTGTATTATGTTAAGTGCAGAGTTCCGCTTTGAAATGGATTAAATATTCAAATAATTTATAAATAAATGTTTTAGAATACAATTTTAGAAGAAGAAAAAGCATTATTTTTTGTGTGTGTGAATTTGCATGTGTAAATATAGTTATAATTATTTAATTCTATTGTTCCTCAAAAATTTACCTGTCTAAATTCATTACCTATTAACTTAATATTTTTAGTTTTTGTATATAATATACATTATATAAATTGTCCTTCTCAAAGTAGTGGTGATTGTTTAAGACTAAATAATACATACATCATTATATCTAAAGATGAACTACACACAGTTCCATTCTAAACATGTTTGAAATTTTTTAACATGTCAGTTTTTAAACAAATCTATACAGGGAAATTTTTTTATCAAACAACACTTATTATTTCAAAACCTATTAAGGATTTTAAAAAAAATTTATAAAATTTACAAGTTGAATAAAACAACATTTTTAAAATAAATAATATATTTTTTATTGTTATAGTTTTTAAAATTTTTAGTTATTTAAATAACAACATCAGACATTTTTAATTTCACGTTCTAAAGCAAAATATTTTTTGAAATACTTCGATACATAAAAATGGAGCGGGGAGGTATGAGGATACTCTGCAAAATGTTAGTATACTACTCCACTTGTTTAAATTTTAAATACAAGTTTATAACTCATAAGCTACTCTTCCAAATTAAAATTTTTTTTTATCAAAATATTCTTAAAAATATTTTGTTTCAGAATTTTATAATAAAAATATGTTGTTTTATTTCGACTGGAAATTATATTCAGTAAAACCTGTTTTATATGGACCCTTGTTAAGACAGAATATTATTCTGTGTGGAAATTTATTATAGTCTCTGCAGATTTCTATAATTTAACATAGGATTAAACCCTTGATAAAACTAAACATGTCTAACGTAAAAAGAGCTTTTTTTGGTTTCGTAAATCACATAGATACCTTTAACAAATGGAAAAACATATCATAAAATGAATACAAATATTTTTGATACCCACATTTATTTATAGTTATTAAGATCAACAATATTAATACGTATCGATAGATAACTACATTTTACCTTGAATCTATATCATCAGTGTTCATTATTATCATACCGTAGTTGTAGTTTTCCTGTCTTCGTCTCGTCTTACTTATTCTTGCAATGTCTTCAAAGATTTGTTTAAGTTTAAATGAAAAAATGAAAATTATAGAAGAAGGTTGTTTATTGTTGAAAAAAAACTGAACATAAACTTTACATAAAATTTGGAATTTTTAATTGTATTTTAATTTGCTTTATTTTATCATATTACTATTTGATTAATACTTACTAAATATTATGTCCTTCCAATTTTGGAATTGACATTTATCATTATATTGAAATATCTAATTAATACATATCATGTAATTTACTAAAAATTAAAATTTATTGTAGCATATGATATTTATTAATTTTTAACATTCTAATTATAATTTTTGGCCGGAAAATATTATAACCTTAAATCTTAATCATGCAGAATATTGTAACTCTATAGTATGGAATTTTCCTTTTTATTCAGTTACACGAAAACCTGCTTAAAACGGAAATTTTTATTGGTCCCATACAATTCTGCACAGGACAGGTTTTACTGTAATTTTTTTTTCAAAAATGTAAATAGATTTTAAAATAATATTTGTTGTTTAATAAAATAATTGCCTGGCATACTATCTACTTTTAATTATCGTTTTCATGATATATTTTAAAATATAATTTATAGTACAGCAGTAAGACAAACCATATTCTACATTTCTGCATGTCCATTCATTCCTTTCTTAAAAATGAAAGTAATTTCAAAGATATAAAGCTTCTTTAATTATCTCTACTTGTTATAAGAACATTTCATAATTAAAATATATTATGTTATTATTAAAGATATTTCCTTTATTGAATAAGTACTTCTTTAATTCATTCTGCTAATTAAATCACCAAGTACCTATCTGTATTAACAATACAATAAGAACAATGTTATTTAATCATATTCAATATTATATACCAAAACCAAACACATTTTTTCCATTTAAAATGTTGAATAGTGTTATATAGTATATGATCTAAAAACAGTAAAAAACTTGAAAAATTAAAACAAAATATAATTTTATTTTAACTTAGTTGTATTCAAACAGTAGGTAATAAAGTAACCGATATATTAATTTTTTTTTAAATAAAAAAATGTTACAATGACAAAAATACTTTATTAAGGCTTTTTGTAGTCAAGTTATTCAAAAAAATATATTCTCAATTTTATTTTGGTAAATATTTTAATTCTATATCTGTTTTCAATTTAATAATAGTAATAGTAATAATAATAATTGTTATGATATTTTATATCATTAATCTAATATAAGATAATTAAACCTTTGTAGCTATTTATCTAACTTAGATAATGAACATATATATATATATATCATATAAACTAACATATAAGATGAAGTATAATTTAATAACTTACAAAAAATATAATCCAATATGTAGGTATATGCAAACTATATACATTTATTTGTAGTACTGAATCTTATTTATTAAATTACTATTAGAATATCAATTGTTTAAGTTGTGTGTATATGTCGTATAATACATTTGGTTTATAACAATAAAATGTAATATTAATAAAGACTTTACTACCTTAATAATTAATATTTATTTAAGATTTTTAAATTGGTTCACGTTTACATTATAAATATTTATTTTATACAAATTATATGTTCACAAATATTAAAATAAATTATTTATTATTGTATACAATTTATTAAAATCAATTTATAAATGATAATGTCCATTATTTTTTTAATAAATATTAAAGAGCACTTTATGATTATAATATATACCATATGGTGTAGATACCTATTACCGCAATCTACTAAATTGAGCATTGCAGTTACTAGAGTCTAATTAAAATTAATTGCGAAAAATATTGTTATTTTATTGAACCAAACGCATGAGACATGATTTAATAATATTACGGTACCTATTTCTAGTCACTAGTAATAACGTTTAGTATATTATGTAAGTACTTAGTACATAGGTATAAAAATAATATTTATATTTTCAACAAATAAATGTTATTTTGATTGACAGATTTATATTATGATTCACGATAAATATAAAAAAAAAATATTAAAATGTAAACACACGTAATAATATTTTATATATATAGCGGAAATTGATGAAGCGTATGAAATGATTAAATTGTCAGTGACGTCCAAAAGTCATTAGCATTTCAGAGGGCTAAAATTTTTGACATAAATATAAACCACGGAATCATGTCCCCACACCCCTAATACATACCTACCTAAAAAAATTATTCTTCATTTAATACGTTTTTATATGACATTTAAAAACTATAATGCAAATATAATAATTATATGTAGTCATATTATCGATAGTTTAAAACAATGTTTTAATTAAATTAAATTGCATTCTTTTTACTGTTCTATTTCTTTCAAAAACTTAATCAATTTTCTTTGTGTTTTTAATAGTTTTTGATAGCGGTTTTTAAATATTTAAGATCGGTAGAATATTTAAACAATTTTTAGCCATTTATGTACCCAGCCATGTTTTAATATGTGTTTCACTGCAGAGAAGCTACGCTCTCAAGTGGCTGAACTGATTGTCAATTGGTAATGTTTCGAGCGTTACAGCCATCACTTCTAATAGTTATTAAGAATTTAAAATAAGATAATTGAAATTCCTTGAGTACCGTACGACGGGACGAGGTGAACTTTGTAGAATGAAGTCACTGATTCACCCCATTCTCATTATTTTAATTATTTATTAGTTTAACTGAAAAACGGTTTTATCCAAATTAATTTAATCGATTGTACCTCCACGACAAAGTAGTAAGTACGATTTTTTTCGTAAACCATCGTATATAAACGTATAGAATTCTAAGTTTCAATAATTTCAATTTAATAGATAACTTTGAATTTTAAAAATATACAAAACAGCGTCCCACTTTACGCCTTTTTTTTTTCCTTTTTTTACGCCCCGTCGTACGGTAATCATAACAATTACTGATATCATAATAATTAATATAGTAATACTAATACTACCGATGTAGGTAGTGTGGTATTATTAGTAGTTAAATACCATGATTTGAATAAAAGCATCATTTAAATAAATACTTAATCATAGATATCTTGTATAATAAAAGAAAAAAATCTAAGAAAATACTTTGTTGTGTGACTGTAGATTGCGATGATCGCTGATCAGTCTTACTTATTTTTTCGATACTATAGGTGTCATGTAGTTATTTAATATTATCTATGGTCTTCAGCGATTTCCTTTCCTTTCGAAAGTATAAAATGAAAACACGAAAAAGATTTAATAATTACTAAAAATTATATGTATTTTGTTTTTAAATGTTGAGGGACTAATTAATAAAATGTTGACGAGCGGGGCTTAGCCAACCTGCAAGTCGTCCACCCCCTCCCTATATGCGCCTATAGCAGTGGCACAGCGGGTACGTCAACAAGAGGACGAAGGGTGTTTGTCTTGCATAGTCAACTGTATGGTCTCCATGAGCCGGTCGATGATGGCCGTCTGGTCGGCCGACCGCTGGCGGAGCACGGTGAGTTCGTTTTTGTGACGGTCGATGTCGCCGGCCGACCGGCACTGAGTGTCGGACAGACGGCGGTTGAAGTCGGCCAGGCTGGTGGTCAGTTCGCTGTGCTGTTCGTACAGCCGCTGCCCCTCGCAGTCTACCCGGCTGACTTCGGACCGCAGCCAGTTGAGCCTGTACAGCAGCTTCTTGATGACCGACTGCTGTGCCCCGTCATCGTCGTCGTCGGCGGCCGCTGCCGCGGCTATGTCGTCATCGGTGACCGGACCGGTTGCACGCGCCGCGGCCGGACGTCCGTCGCCGTCGGCGGCCGTCGACATGGCCCCCGCCGAAGACGCGGCCACAACCGCCGTCCGTCGCATTATCATACGCTTTAGATACTCGTCCGGTTCCGCTTGGTACTTGTGCCAGCTGAACACCGGCATGGCTTCGCGCAGGAAGTCTAGAGCCACCGTGGCCCGGTTCAGCGTCCGGTCGTACAGGTACGCGTACTTTTCGCACAACGCCATCTGCTCCTTGGCCAAACCGTCGCTGATGTGTTCCGTGCGGCTCTCGAACACGTCCGACACGAACGTCCTAAAGTCGTCCACCATGCCGTCCGACAGCTTCATCATCAACGCTCCCCGGTCGCACGTGTACAGCGACACCTGCGCACCAGAGAGTTCTACACTTTTTCGTGTAAAAAAAAAAAAAAACCCTCCCAACATTTATTTAAACCATATATACACGAACACGAACTAGTCAAAGTTTCTATGTGAATAATAATATGTATATAGTAGGTACATAACTAGTACATAAAATGTTACGTACAGAATCCGCGCAATTGAATTTAATTCGTATACGTACCGACGTACAGTTTTGTAAAAATATATATTTTTCTGTACAGTAATATTATATGTAACAAGCAAACCTCAGAAATGCCCAGGCAAAACGCGAACTACCTACGATACTTGGACAGAATGTCATATTATTACGACTTTTGCCCGGCAAACCTAGTTGTGACTAAATTTATTTGGGCGAAACCGTGGCGTCTCTATAATACTCTATTATTAATTATAAATAATTTATAAAGTAAATATTGTATTTCAAGTATAACCAAATATGATTAAATACGCATAAATAATAATAAAAATATAATGATTAATGATAATAGGTATATTGTCAATATTGAGAATTAAAAAAGTTAGTAAATACATTTAATTATAAAAATGCAACAAACATATATTTTTGGGACGTTTATATACGTCGTGATTAATTTTAATAAAATTATAAAGTTATTATACTTCTATTTACAATATTATTCCAATTAGATAATAAAATATATTCTGTGTACAATATATACCTAAAATTTAAGGAGTAGATAAAACACGATAATAACGATTACGTGTGGTCATTAAAATCTTACGATAAAAGTCACTACAGTTTTTCCTAAATTAGGTCGGTCACAACTAGGTTTACCAAACAAAAACCTAAGTATAGCATTTTAACATTTTACCCAAGTATTGTGAGAAGTTTGAGTTTTGCCTGGGTATTTCTGAGGTTTACTTGTTACATATATATTGTTCAGAAAAGATATTTTTATAACATTTTTTATATGTATACGAATTAATCAATAAAAAAAAAAAATGAAAAAAAAACTGTAAAAACAGATAGGTCATTATACTCCTTTTAATTTTGTACTACACGCAAATTTAATTCCTGATGTGTAGTAGTTGAGTACGTATATTATCTTTATACACAATACTTTAATCCTCTTATTATGGTGGGATAATTGATGATTCACTAAGCATGACTACTCCATATTTTATCTTTTGACAATACATTTATTCAAATTCTGCAGATTATCGGAATTACTTAGGTGCTTATTTTAAACATTACTATAAACTCTACTTTTAGTTATCTACTAGGGTTTTTATATTATTTAGGAAGTATCCTGCAGTGGTAATGTATTTTTAATTATATTTTTATTTTAATGAGAACCATAATTTTATTCATGTTTCTTTTTATAGCACAAAAATAACCCTTTATAATAGTGTTACATAAAAAATAAAATACTTTTTATAGTTAGTCTAATTAAAATTATGCTAGGACAATTAAACATTTATAAAATATTTAATTTCTTAGGTATTATTATAGCTATTATAATATTTCTAAATTATCATAACCTCCGTACACTATTTAGGGTGTAGGGGGACGTAGGAAGACGGAGTACTCCAACTAATTTTTCAGAAATTTTAGTGTACCCTACTATTGTTTTTAACGAGAACGAACGGGACTTTTCATAATTTTGTTTTTTTTTATCAAAATGCACGAGACATAATCATAATTTGTCTTATGGATTTTTTTAAAACTACGCATCTATAGATAAATAAATAAGAATAATTTAGTGTTGAATGTTTTTTCTTTTTTGCGTTGGACTTATTTTGATATTTGGTAAAATCAAAATATGTGAGAGAAATTTTAGTACCATGAATAATACGGTTACTTGGAAAAGAAATGCATTAACGTCTAAGCATATATTATGTTCATTGTTATTTGTTACTAATAAAATGCGTCGGTCCATCTACTAATAGTTATAATACATCAAATCTTGCATAATAAGTGGTAAAAAAGATACAGAAGAAAATTATTATTCAAAAAGGATAAAATTGGTAGATAAAAAACAACATGTTTATAATAATTTATGGAACTATATAAATAAATAGTTAAAAATGGATGTTTTTTATTTATAAACTTTTATTATATTTTTGAGTTTGTTATTAATTCTTAATATAATATATATATATATATAATAAGAAGGTACAGTAATTACCTATGTTTTATATTAACTTGTATTATTTTTATTTTTCAAATTGATTATTCATAAATATTATTTATATGATTTAAAGAGGAGTATTAGGGCAAAGCCAGTCTTAGGCAGGGGGTTAACGGGGTTCTTGCCCTAGATCTCGCCGTTTTGTATGACATTTTGGGCCTCACATTATTGAAATTATAAATTATTTTAAGCTATAAAAAAAGGTTTTTGGTATTAAAGACCTTTTTAAAAAAATTTTCCCCAGGCCTCACTCCACCCTAAGGTCGAATTTGCATTAGGAGGTGTAGGAACATAGCCCCACAGTTCAATATCGTTTAATACATGTTGAGGATGCTCTTTTTTTTAAAGTAAATAAAATCCCCTTATTTTAATTTTGCTAAGTCGAGCATTGCATAGTCCCCATCTTTAAACATGCTATCATGGACTAATATATTATTATACATTAAGTTAAAAATTCAGAAACGATTAGTCAAGTTTTGATTTATGTGCATCAATATTAAAAAAAAATAACTGTTGTGAAATTAAAAAAAAAAATAAAGAAAGGAATTTAGATTGCTATACAGCACTCCCCACAAAAGATATAAAACAATTATAAAAATGTGTTTAAAAATATATAATGATACAAAATTAATACTCATTTAAACTGAGTATAATTTTAAGCAAGCGATGGAAGAATTATCTGCAGTTTATGTTGAATAATTCGTAATTATCTTACGAATTGAAAGATAAAAATGATATGGTATAACTTGTGTTTGTGTACCTAAATTCCCACTAAAAAATGCAATAAATTCATTAAATAAAAAGGGGAGTATGTCGGATAATTAACTTGGTAATATGTAATATGTATACTAGTATTATATATTGTATACAAAATCAATATTATATCTCGTATTATAGAGGATTAAGGCACCTGCAAGCTGCAAATAAGTTATTTTAAAAGGTTATGTATAGGCAATATTTCTATAGAATATATGAATTAAATTTATATAATTAATAATAGTAATATATATTATTAAATTAAATTTGATAATTATACAAGTACAAAGATTTTGTAATAATTAATTAAGATTATATATTATTTTATATTATTATCAATGGACCTTGGTATTTTATCATGATATTTAATTAAAAATATAGATAAATGAAAATTATAAAAATTTTTAACATTCATCGTACAATTTCTTTTCTTATCGCAAGTCCAAAAAATTTGGAAAAATTAGAAAATATTATGTATATTAATATATATTATCATTATATTATTATATTATACACTTCTGAAAAATCCAAAGTTATTGGAAAATTAAAAAATAAGTTGACAGTTTAAATAATTTAAAAGTATAAAAAAAATATAGTTAAAAAAAAACATGTTATTTTAAATTAAAATTGTTTTTAGTAATAAATTAAGCTATAATATTATAACCTACAAAGAGTACAAAGTACTAACGCCATTAGGCATTAACTTGAAACTGTTTTGGCTTCTAAATAAATCCGAACATCGAATTCTCATTACACTATTTATCTTTAGCTAATATGTATTGTTGTTCCCAGTGAAATCTCACATTGAACACAAATAATATAATATAACTGTTCTAAAAATATTGTATTTATGTATTTTTGTGTTTATTTATTTTAAAATTTTTAACTAATATTTTCATTATTAGTATAAATTGCGGTTTTTTTTTTTTTTTACTATTTTTTTCAGTAAAACTTTTCAATTTTCTCTTTTTTTTAATAATTATATAAAATGCATTTATGTATACTATTATGATACAAAATGAATATTTTTTTAATCACGTAAAAATACAAAATTCAATATGGTTATATACATAAAATACTATTGGGGGGGGGGGGGGCTTCATCAATCCCTGTTAATACACTACTACTACTGCAGTATCTAGATAAAAATGTTTAATGTTAATTTATGAACTTAAAATTTATTTATGCCTCATAAAAGTTTAGAAAGTTGTTACAAAGTATTTTGGTTTTAAAGATTATTTAATTTTTTTAATTCATAAACAAATTTCCCTTGCATAGGTTAGAGTAATTTTACAATTTTGACGACAACATTTTTTGTGTGAATAAAATGTTTAACAATGTATAAATTTGTTAATTTTGAATAATTAATAATTGTATGTATGAACAATATAATCCAAATGATGCAAAGTAAATAACATGTTTAATGTTTATGAAATCAAAAATTTAGGAAAAACGCAATTCTTCATGAGTAAATACTATAACCATAAAATCTGAAAAATGTATAAAGATAACTAATTTTTGAAGATATTTTAAGCTCAAATTTTGACGAAATTACTTATTTAAATAATAAATAACAATGTTAATTATTTAGTTATAATTTTAAGACATTATTCGTGAAAACTTAAAACTTTTACGTGTATTATATTATAAATTTTATTAAACAATGATACTTTTGATTTATTTTAGGATAATATTTATATTATAAACCTATTTTTGTGTTTTACGGTATTTACAAAAGATAAAAATTTCGAGTTGTAGGTATAAATTTTTATAATATGATATATTTATACATTTTTATAATTATTTAATGTTACATTATTTAAAAAAAAATATACCAACCAATACCGTAATATTAAAATTAAAATAAATACATTTTTATTTCATCGCGAAATATACTTAGTGATATTACACATTTACACACTGACAGACCGATTCGTTCAGAATCGTATATTATTTAATTTATTATATAGCATTCCATAATGTAGACATTTACTCACAATTTACTGCAGAACGATATACTACCATTGAACGTACCGAAAATATCGTAGGTATTTATTAATTATTATTTAAAAAAAAAAAAACAAAGTTATTATTTTCAAGCATTTCGACGAAGAAAAAAAATACAGTTTGTAGATGCTTTAATCAAATAAAAGTAATAATTCGTAAATAATCAATGATTTAATATTATTAACATATTATTATACCTTTTTTTACATTAATTTAATTCATTGTTTATTTTATCTGTTTCGTTTTATTATATTATACATAATATATAGTATGGTTAGTACGATATTGGTATTTTTATATATTCTATAATATCTCATACTTAGCATCATTTTAAGTATTATAATTATTATACAATAATATGGTTTAAGAATAAAAATGATAAAATAGCGATTTATAAATTAATTCTCGTTTCATATATGTATATGTTATAAGTGAAGTAGGAAAAAATGGGTAGTGTACACATTACCCAAACAGTATTATGTTTAAATTATAAAGTATAAATTATTCATCTTAAATATGTACAGTGAATATTATTGTATATTATCCAGCTAATGTACACACTGTGCTGTAAATAAAGTATGAAGTAGAAAAAAAATCAAATCATATTAACCCAAAAATGTATTTATTAAATTTATTATTTTATATATAAAAATATTTGAAAAATTTAATAGGTATAGTTCTTTATTGAAACAGTTCAAATGAGGACGGCATTTGGAGTTGCAAAGTATCCTAGTATATTTACATTTACATTTATTTGATTAACATTTACTTTTACATATTTTTAATTGAAATAAATAAATATTTGCCTATATACAAATTGTTGGTAATTATTACTTGTATTTTGCGTAAATAAATCATAAAGATATGTTTGTTTGTTACCAAGAATACAGCCACATGATTCATAGAAACGAGATATTGTATTGTCTTGTTAAAAAAAAATTATATATATTTTATGTAAAAAAAATAAACCTGTCGAAACATCATTGTCTCTTTGGTGTCTTAGTTTAAAACGACATTTTGCAATATTTCTTCTAATTCTTGTTCTATTGATAATTTTTCTACTACTTTTTCTGGAAGTAAAGACGACGACAGACTAATTTTTATATCAATTCCAAATATGGCCATTTATATGGTGATCTTTTAATATCATCAGGATAAGCCCTATTTTTCATCAACTGTACGAATCGTAGACTCTCCGACCATGATTTACAATAGTTTGTTTTCATTCATGTTATCAACATATTCCGTATACGTATCATCTTGGTTTGCTCTTTCGATACTATCTCGAGATTGTCGGTGGTGTGGTTTTTATGAACAATTTTTTATGTGTATTTAAATCTTCTATTATTTTGTTTGTAAATTCACGATTATTGTCTGATTGTAGTATCATGGGAGTTCTAAAAATATAAAAATGTCGATGTTTTGAAACTTCTGCTCTCTTTATTTTTAATGATCTTAATTGTACAAATTTAGTTAAGTGATCCTGATATACTATAATAAACTGGAACTCTTCATCTCCTGTGATTGCATATCGATCAAATCAACTTGGCATCTAATATTTATTCCTGAAAACGTCATTGATTCAATCACTAGTTCTTTGGTTATAGATTTTTGTTTTGATTGACACGACATGTTAAATTTTTAAATAGATATACCTGCCTTTTAAATTATATATCCTTCTACTTTTTTTTTAACATAAGCATTTATGCAGTGTTTTCTACCGTGTTCAATACTTAAATGTATATCATACAGTATGTCATGAATGTTTTGTTTTTAGTGTAATATAAAATATTTGTATTATCTTCTGACATTGGAAATATTAATTTGTTTTTTCTACCTATAAGTACCAATAACGTCGTATCTCTGAAAATCTATATGATTTATTTATTTTTTTCCCGGTTAATTTTACGTTTTTAATTTTTGATGATATGTATATATATTTTGATTCTGTTAAAAACACTAAATTCTCATTCTCTTCATCAATTAATTTATTGAAATTTTCATAACATTTCTCTTTTTGAGAACACATTTTATTAAGTAATAAAACTTTAACAACCTAACAAATCAAACCGTACTGGAGTTTAAAATTATGTAGGTACACAATATCGTTTACACGTTTTATCATGATGTACTTAAATATTATATCTACAAGTACAATTGATATTTTAACTATTTTATTTTATTAAAACACTTTGTCTATTCAAAGGTAGATAATATATAAATTACCCGGTTAATGTACAAAATAAACGTTTCACAAATAATATTTATTCAATATGCATAGATAGTGTTCACATTACCCGCGGATAATGTGTACGCTACTCATTTTCGTGCTCTACCAGTAACATATATACGTAAATATGCGCAACATACAAATCTGTAAGTATGTAATTGAAAATAAATATTGTTGTTATTTACATTATTGCTATAAACTATAGATTGTTGACATTATTACAGTATATTTATAAAAAAGCCATTTCAATTTACGTAAAAACAATCCAAAATTGATCGACACACAGTATTTATTTATATTATACTTATTACTTATAAATAAATTAAAAGCATACTCAACTTTTAGATTATGATATTGCAACAGTGTATAAAATGTAAATTCAACAAATTTTAAATTACTGAATAAATAAACATTTGCGCATAACAACTGCTGCAGTGAATTTATAACGCTCAATAAAATAATGTTTGATAAAAGGTATACGGATACATTATGAATTGAAATACCGTTGCGTGTGATGAAAAAAAAATCCTGGACTTTAATTTGCGTAGTCCTCACACTAAGAGTAGTCGTATTAACCGAAAAAATAAACGATGCACAATATTTTTTAATTTATTTTATAGCGAAAAAACCCCGTGTACGCTTTTGAGGATTTAACGCTCTATTGATTGTATAACAACTTTTATCGTGTACTAGGAATCGAAATTTAGGTCAATCGATATTCACGCATTGCGCTATATAGTCCTTGTATCTAGAGAATAAAATTGATAACGTCATGCAGACGCTTTATTTATCTTCAGTTATTGCAATTAACAACAATAAATTATGCGAGACTTTAGAAAAGTTTTCCACCAATTATATTCACCCTAAGCTATGGTTCAGAAGAAAAACAAAATTACAATAACTGCGTAGGTTGGGTTAATCCAACATGTGTAATTATATTGTAAGCACCCACCTGGAAGTAAAATTCTTGTAACGTGGTAGAGTCATCGACGTTTTCCAAAACCCGTAACAGTTCCGGACCGACGGTTTTCTGTTCGGCTTCAGTAAATATGGGAAGCGCGCAGTCTCCCAGTAACTCCCTATAAGCTGCGTCCATTGGCTCCGGGCGCTTCTTTAGTAAGTGCTGTCCGAAATTATCTAAGCACGGGTTGCACAGTTTGGCGAATGGATTTTTTTTTTGGGCGTTTTTCTCGCCACCGCCATGGCACTCTCCTCCGCCCCCGCCAGCCAAGTGACCGTCACGTTTTATCTGCACTCCGTCGTCTTCGCCAATCTCCTCCAAGCGCGGTGCCTGCAGTTCCCCGTCCTTGTTCTGTGAGTCTCCAATGGCGTCTCGGACGTCGTAGTTTACCGTCGTTTCATCGTTATTGGCGTCGTTGTCCATCTGATCTTCGAAGTCCTCATTGTAGTAGTCACTATCCTCGTCCTCGTACCTCGTCTGAGCAGCTCTGCTACAGTTGCTCGTCTGCCAACACTCGACTCCACCACTGTTGCGGCTGTGACCGCTGCAAGGATTTACGTACCGACTTAACGACACCAGGGGACCCGGTGGCGGATCCCTCGCAAAAGGACCGTTAATTCGCCCTTGGGCCATCATGTATTGCAACAGTTGTAGGTACTTAAGTTCGTTTGCGCCTCGGTTCTCCGCAGTCAACTTCAACACCCATTTTTCTATTGTTAATGCCAACTCGGGATCACGTATCACAACCATCTGATTGGAAATATCATTGACGGCCACGTCAAAGTCCATGTCGTTGTACATTGTCACACATTTACCGTAAAATCAAAAATACTCAGGTGTGTGATATCTGTTCAGAGTTAGTTTACAGTAGACTGAAATTTTTTTTATTAAATTATACACATTCTATAAAACCAACGTTACGCTGTAATTGTATTTATAATTCCATTATAAACTAATAAGTAAACAGCGACCATCGGTAATTATATTATATACCTATATATAGATGTCCATTTAAATACATACATGCATTCTAGATAATTTTTAATGAAAATAACTTTATCTAATGTTAAAATTACAATTTACGAAAATATTATAATTTTAAAATTCTAATCGAGTCATTGAGGTTTATGACTAAAAATTAACTATAGTACCTATAATCGCACAACTTATATTTTTATAATGTTGATAATTATACTTGACAACATACCTAAAGTATAGGACATAATAATCCTAACTATTTAAGCTTATATGTAGTATATATACATATTAACTGTATACTCGGTTATATGGTCTATACAGGTATACTATTGAATCACATTATACTGATATATTAATTTAGTTTGCTTTAGATTTAAGGTCAAATTATCTGGAGAAACAGTCTTAATAATTGTGGCTTAGTATATACATTAAATATAATTCGGGCAGATTACAACGAGATCTTGTAAGTATGTTTGGGTCTAATTAACTTATAAGTGAGTTTTGAACTTTGAATAAACTATCTTCAGATATAATTTAATTAATAGACCTCATCCCTTCCCTTCCATCAATTATATATTTATATAATAATTGGGATCGACTTATAACTCTGAATAGGAGTATAATACCATTATATTAAAATATGTACAACAATATTATTATCTTCATTTCTCAGAAAAATGCATCAATCATCATATTTACTATCCCAAGAGAGTCAATTATACCACATGGTAGTGTATTTGATGACAAAGGGTTGATTTAATCATATTGTTTATATAAATACTGTTTATATCTTAATAAAGTATAATAAACCACTCTCCTTTCCCATAAACTTTGTATGAAGTAACTTATATTATAAAATAAACCGATATAATTGTTTAATAGAGTATTATGTCGTTATGCTCATGGTCATTAAAAAAAAAAAAAAATCTTTGAGAATTTAAAACTAAAATAAAAACCGAAAGACGATACGCCATTGGAGTAAATAAAAGAGGGAGTAAAATAAAATTGTTATTATTATAATTGTCACGAAAAAATACAGAACATCGTGTAGCATACGGTTTGAAGAATTGAAAAATATATTCGTCTATAGATAATATTATGGCGACTAATCAATAAACCACGCGTCTCAACGGTTTGCCGAATAGGTACTCGATAAATAGACTTCGATGATCGGAAAACAAAAATAGTTAATACGCATCGCCTTTACGGAGAAATATGTGCGGTTGCGGGTGGCGCGGGGTCGTTGGCTTGTGACCCACACGGCTCGCGAGCTCAAGTCAAAAACCCTTTTTCGTCGTTCGCGCGGTGGCAACAAGTTGTAGTAGGTACATGCCGACGAGATTGCTAAGGCGGTGTCAGCAACGCGGGACAAGTATGAGGCGAGTGGGCAGGAGGAGGATTCTCGGTAAAAAATAAAAATACAATGTGTGCGTTCGCGTATTGTTTGGTGATCGGCGGCGGCGGCGGTGGGACATGGCCCGCTCGCGCGCAACCCGGGCGACGGATACTCGTCTGTTCAAGCGTAATTACCCCCGGAACAGTCACCCACCGCATCGGGCGTGGTGTCAGTGGGCGGGAAGGCGGTAGAGAGCGGAACCGGAGAGCGGTTTTAGTGTGATCGCGCGCCGACCGCTCCGCGACGGAGTCCACAGCTATACTGTACACGACAGTCGAGAGACCTATGCGATCAGTCGCCGCCACTCGTCAGTCAGTCACCACTGCGGTGTGTACCGAGCGGGTCGTGCGCTGAATCTCGTCGCCGTTCACTAGCGCATCTCTCGCTAACATCAGCCGTCGACGCCGCCGCGGCGTCCAGTACGAGCGAAATGTCCGTTCGGGGTTCCGTCTGAAAAACGACATCAGCGTTGTTTCCGCGTGTCTATTTTCCCGTTTCCGTTCCTAGTCCGGTCGTCGGTGGTTTTTTATTTTTTTTTACGAAAATGTCCGTCGGCCGTCCGCTGCTGCTCCGGCTGTTGTTGGCCGTCGCGTCCGTGGCCCGAGGCGGATCTGCCGCGTACTGCGACGAGAACTTGTTCCCGGAAGTGGACGACACGCAGCGACAGTACACCGGCGTTCGGTTCACCAAGGAACTCAGCTCCGCCGAGTACGGTCCCCTCAACTCGTTCAAGACGCTTCACTGTTGCGGCGAGAGGTATCTCAGCCTCGAGTGGTAAGTGCCCTGCGAGTATATAATATTAATAACATTATCATACGTATTAATTTTTCACCGTGCCGCTTCCGCCCCGGCCATGCGGTTCGTATACCACGTCTGTCTAACTAATAATAGGAACGCACTTCTTCGTGTCGATTTTCTACGACAATTATTGTCGTATATCGTACGGTATTAACCTTCTGTAAGCGATCGAGACGATCGTACGTCGGACTTAACACCTGTATTTACGTTATAATATTACGAATATTATACGGTGAAGTTCGTACACATATTATGCTCCTCGGACTCGCCTGAAAATTAATTAATTCGTATAAAGTAAAAAAAAAAAATTAAACTAGACTACTATTTGTAAATTCATTATAATAATTATTGATCGATGGAACTATAAATTTAATAGGTACACACTTCACACAGGTGAAACGGAAACCGTTTTGTAAGGTTTTAATTCCCAGTGCACGTGAACTGATATATATATATATGTGTGTGTGTATGTGTGTGTGTGTGTGTGTGTGTATATATATACAAACATAGTATGAAAACGAAATGGTCGGTATGAATGGACATCGAAGAGTATTATTATTGTGTTGTTTTTTTTTTTTTTTTACGTAGATACACTATAATGGCGCAGTGGCGTCTTGCATTGTACATGGCTTTTCGGTAGGTAGGTAGTAGGTATACTGAAATAATAATCAACCATTATTATTTCCAACTACCCTGCAAAAGAGAAATACAGAATTCTATATATACATGACTATTTCCTCGACGCTCCATTGTATATTCAATATTGTTCTCGGAAAAAATGATCGCTTTTATTCCTTTCTTGTATATTATTCTTGTTCGGCGTTGCCTTCATGAAATTCCGTGTATTTTCAATACAATTAATACCTACGTAAAAAGTATACTTATATTATACTACACATATGCGTGTACAATATTCAGAAATCAAATGTCCTTTACACGTTTATCGAACAACCCAGTACAGGTTTAGACAAGTTCTGACAACTTAAACTCATTTAAATCATAAATATAAAACCTAAATTATTTACCAAAAATCATAATATAAATTCTTAAGTTAACGTATAAAATCAGTCAGAATAATCAATATATAAATTATTAAATTATAAATAATATTATTTATTATTATTTTGACATACACATTATATTAAATAGTACATAAATCTTAGATTTTACATCCTAGATTATGTTATCTCTGTCTAACAAACTATAAAAATTATAATGAATAAAATCCGTAGTTTTTTTAAACATGTAATCTGGATATTGTTCTATTGCTGATAGAAAATACAACATTTTTAAGTATCTACAGCACAAACGAAGAGTAGACGCAGCTTATGATTTATTTTAAATGTGGATGTGCCTTGTGGTATTTGTTTGATTACATGGGATTTATTGCATGAAAGCTCACCGAAATAATTCTCTGTTAAATGTATTTAACTATGTAAATTTCAGTGAATATTCAGTACAGTTTATAACTATATATTATTTATAAAGTTTACGCCTTATGGCTTTTATACACCACAATTACTGGTTAGTATTATTAATTGAATACTTACATTTTATCATAATAGTATTGGTTAGGTTGATGATTATAACTATAATGTTTTGTAACTACCTATTAGATATCTAAGTAAGAAATATGCTAATTTCTGAACTAATAAGTATCTTAAAATTATATATTTATAAATAATGATGTCTAATACTTAGTGTGAGAGAGTTACTTAAATATAAATTTAATGATTTATATAATATATGTTAGTGTTTTACTAAAAACATTATAATGTATAATCATGCACAATTTAAATAATTAAACAGTTCGGTTATCAAAAAATCTCAAATACTCGTAAATGCATAATAACTGTTGGTAATTAATAATTATTATATATAATATAATATTAATAGACATTTAAAATATAAAGTATATTACTAATTAATATAAAATTATGGTATAGATAAGAATAGATTTTTGAATTTTGTTTAAGTTTTTAATTTTCAACTATCAGGACGAAATTGTATTAACCTTTAAGTTGTTACCTTTAATTACTGCTTACAGTTTCTGTTAAAATTGTACTTTTTATTTAAAAATAAATGAGAATAAAATTTTTGTTGATATCAGTTTCTTATTAGGTTTACATATACATACTTATTCATTAATTATTTATTAAAATAAGTTTATCTGGTAAAATAATATTGCGATATACTTACTTATCAGTTATCACTATAATAATATACGTTTTATGTAAATTATATCTCATCAACCAATATTTTATGTGAACCCATATTATATTTACATAAGTATTAATAGTAACTATAAAATACCCACTAGGTGTAATATTTTAGTTATTCAACTGTAGCCTTTAAGTATTTTTTTAACGTGCAGCGCACGAACGTTAGATGTATTGTAACATGTTTCTTAAAGTTTAAAATAAAATATCAATTTTTTTTTTATCTGGAAATTTCTATCATACTAACGTTTGATAATAATTTCTTAGATTTCGATAAAATAAAAAAACTTACCAGGTATTTTGAAATAATTTTGTGTACTTCTAATATGTTCTAATTATCTAAGGTTATATCTGGCGTAACTGAAAACAAATTTTAGCTGTTTGGGGGGTCAAAAATATTTTATAACATCTACACCTTATACACATAATTTCTTAACCAGTATATTTACTATTTACATATTTTTATCTTATTAAAGAATTTCAAACATCTGAACCAGGGATACCAGGGATAGCCAAAAATGAGGCACGCGTGCCATTTGTGGCACATTTGTTTTTATTAAATGGCACAATATAGTGTCATATAAAATAACATATAATTTTTAAATATTTCTAAAAAATATATTATTAAATCAGATTATTACAATCGCAATAAAAAATTAAATCATTCAATTGAACTTTCATAAAAATAGCATATACAAAAAAATCTAAAATGTAAAATTATATTTTATGTATAAAAATAAATATTTTTAAGGCACATTCTTAATTTTGTATTTATTGTTTAGCACAATATAAAAAAAAGTTGGTCACCCCTGCTCTGAACCCTCCGGGAGGTACAATTACGACCTTGTAGAATTGAAAAAAAATATAATTCATTATTTTTGTGATTTATTTTTGAATACAAATGATGTATTATAAAGTTCTTTAGACTATTTTTTTAAGTTTCTCTAGGTCATTGGGATTTTCATAATAATTATTTCTTGAATAAAAAATGAAAATTATTATTTTAACGTATTTAATGAAGTTTACTAGTTTTTTATTATTTTGTGAGTTAGGTGTTGACACAAAAGCTATTTACGCAAATAACACACATGACTTTTAAAAATAAATTCTCTAAAACCAGTCATATATTTTTTGAATATAAATAGCTTCTATTTAATTTTTTTATTATTCTCGTCACATACGCCAATTATTATATTGAAATCACTTGAATTAATTTTGTGTAAATAAATTAAACAGAACTTTTAAGCGAGTTATGTGAATTTTTAAATTGTAATTTTTTACGTACCTTAACCTAATCAACTTACTCATGACTAGCATACAAATTCTATTTTCAGTATCGTAAATTCCAACACATAAATTACAAACACGTTATACAGTTAATATACTTACCATAAAGTTTAAACATATAGTGGTTAATTCACACTAAATTAATTTTGTTAAACAAAATTTCTCATGTTATATGATACTATGATAGTAACTTTGTATAAGACGGAGACTGCACACTATAATTAATTTAATTCTATAAGCTAAATTTATCTAATTTATATTACAGTAGTATATTATATTTTATCAATTTAACTCATATCATAAACTTTATTTGATAGTGTTAAGAGAATTTTTCATACATATGTGTATTGCTCCTACAAATAGGTCTTTTTTATTTCTTTTACAAAAAGTATTAAATTTAATATTAAAAATACTGCGTTTTTATATTTATAAGCAACATGAATAAAATGACTGAAATATTATTATATTTCTTACTATTTTCCCAGAATACTTTGTGTTTTTCATGTTCGTTTACAGACACAAAAACTTATAGACGTGACTTCTGATGAAACTGAATAAGAATATAACATGTTATACGTTGTATATAGGTACTCTTATTGTATAATAATGCTTATTAAAAAAAATGGAATAATACAGATAATATTTTTGTTTTATTTTTTAATAGTAAAGTAAGAGCATTTTTCTTCATCCCTGGTCAATGAATAGTAATATTTTATAATACAAGTTACAATTAACGTCCAATAGTGTGTTCAGTTTTTCTAGAAAAATATTGTGTAATAATAATTAATATGTAGTTAAATTTTTACCTAAATAAAAATACATTATTTTTAAAGCATAATTATAGATTATTATTTTATTTTAAACATCAATTATTATATTAATACATTTATCAAATTAGTATCTATGATTTAATAATGTGCAGTGGCCCAAATGGAACCATAAGTGTATTTTATCAATCAGTTAATTTTATTAAATTATTAACTCAATCACCCACCTACCATTTCTACTAAATATCATAATAGTATGCATGATGAAATTAGTCTTTCATAATTGATAATAGTTGTAAGCAATTAGTATCAATAATTATGTTTATTGCTCATACATTAATAATTATTAGGTACAATATTAACGATTTTTCAAATTTCGGAATAAAATCCCCAAATGATGATACCTATAATCCCATGCAGCATTTTTAATTGAGAATGATAGAATAAATATTTTGTAAACGTTGAAAAAATAAACATCATTTATCTATCTATTAATATAAAATCCAAATACTAATGACTAGGGCTCGGATGTTTATAAAATTGCATATTTTTCTATTTATCCAATTTAATGCTAACCTGGATACAAATTTAATTCATGTTATATTGAATCAAATAATTCTATTTTTATTTTGCATATTTTTGCATATTTTATTATTTCATATTTTAATTGCATATTTTGGGATTTTAAAAATAAAAAAAACAT